ATAAGAGGAATTTGGGGATTCAAATTTGTAAGTAATTATAGCTCCTCAATTTATGCTAGGAATCGGTCAACATAAGATAACTTAGAGTTTAAAATTAAAATTCAATATTTTAATTTTATCCTTTCCTTAATTTAAGGTAATTTAGTTTTGATGTCTAAAGATTAATCTTACTTATGCACAAAGTGTTTGTACTTTTTCCTTTAACATTTGTACTACTTAAATTTAAGACTTTATTGTCCTAAAATAGCTAAATGCTTTTTAATATATATATATATATATATATATATATATATATATATATATATATATATATATATATATAATCTAATAATAGAGACGCTTAGATTAATAGTTTTAGTATATTTACATGTTATAATAAAACATAGTTAAAACATAATGACAATGTAGAAAAACTCTCATATAAGGAAACTCGTAAAAATTTGAGACAAATGAATAATAGACATATCGATGACTTTTAATTAAGTCTTATTTGAAGCAATACTAAACAAACAGTCATATACTATAATTTATTGAATTAAAGATTACCCATATTACTTTCATAATATATGATCGATAACATGTCTCTAATCTAGTTTAAAATAATAATTCAACCACAATCTATAAAAAAGAACCAATATATAACAAATTAACAAATTTTAAGTTGATACATAATAATGTGCCTCGAAAAGTTGTAAAAAGATCTCGAAAACCTATATACCATATGATCGATAACATGTATCTTATCAAATTTATATTAATGATTCAAACACAAATTATAAAAAAAGAATTAGTATATAACAAACTTACAAATTAAAACTTCTAACATAATAATGTTCCTCGAAAAATGGTAAAACGACCTCAAACCAAAAACAAATCCTTTAAAGCTTTTTTTTTCTTTGTGAATTTTGTATGTGAATTGTATGTGTATCTACTAAAAAGAGAGGTATTTTATAGTAAAACTTACATTAAGCGATTAAACATAATATGTAAGTTATAAAACTTTGAATAACTAAACATTATTAAGAAAGGTTTTGAATCGTTAATTAAAAGATGGAGGTTTTAAATGAATGTGGTTTCAGTAAAATTGTCTATATAAGAAAGGTTTTGAATCGTTAATTAAAAGATGGAGGTTTTAAATGAATGTGGTTTCAGTAAATATTATATATATATATATATATATATATATATATATATATATATATATATAGTGTCCGATTCCGGTGATGACTCTCTTTCGGTGAAAACTCGTGAGGACACCTTAAAAAAATTTTAAAAAAATAAAAAAAATACAAATCATAAAATCGAGCATAGTACTATATCCGAGAGAAAAAAAAATTGGAAAATTTTTTTGCATCATTTATATTGAATCATTGATCATAAAAATTGAATCATGGATCATAAAAATGATCCATGCTTCAATTTTAATGATCAAATTTTTTTTCCTCTCCGATATAGTACTATGCTCGATTTTATGATTTGTATTTTTCAATTTTTTAAGGTGTCCTACACGAGTCCTCACTTTAAAAAGTGTCCTCACTCGATCTTCTCTCTCTTATATATTATATATCTAATATATATATATATTATATATATATATATATATATATATATATATATTAATGTTAGGTAAATGAAAAGAAAAGAAAATATTCTACTAAACTTTAATATTTTCTAACTTTTTGATAATAAATTATTTTGTAATTTATTAACAATAATAATAATTAATATAAATTATGCATTTAACACTCTAATAGTCTTTTAATAATTATAGGTAATCATAAGTCATAAATATTATTATAAAGTTTGATACTATCACATGATTTATAGAAGCTTATTGTATATATGCTTTAGAATAAAATATGTTTGAATTCTAGTGCATATGTAATGGGGAAAATGAAATATAAATAGCGATACATCAAATAAATTTTTATTTGGTTATATATCTATATACTATAATATATATATATATATATCTATATATATATTATATCTATATATATTATGTTATAATGGATTGAAAAAAAAAGCATATTTGTATTTATATATCTATATATTTATATATCAACTAAACATCTAACTACTAAATAAATAATATTTACTATACATTACCTATGAATAAAAAAATAGACACGTGTAAATTGATTGTTGGTTCTATTATATGTTGTCATAGTTATGCATTTTTTATTGAACCTACTTACTATATATATATATATTATATATATATATATATATATCTATATATATCTATATATATATATATATATATATATGCTTAGTTATTCTATTCTAACTAAATATTGTGCGGACGTATGGACAATGTTTTTTCTTGAGAATGATAAAGAAAATATGTTGTTTGATAATATAAATACGTTCAATCTTACATAATAACTATTGTCATTAACACACATTCTCACTAATTAAATCCTCTAAAGGTTATTATACACTTATTATTATCATTCTTCATTTCTGTCAGAATGTTTATTGAGTCGTATTCTGTCAGAATGAAAATGAGTGAAAAACGATGTATGAGGACAAAAATAAAAAATAATTAGCGATAATGCATGAAAATGACGATATTTTTGTAAGGTTGAACGTATTTGCATTGCTAAACAACTTATTCTCTTTGGCAGTCTCATAGAATAACATTGTCCGTACATCCGCACAATAATTAGTCAGAATACTTGAACCTAGGGCTCGCGCTCTCTCTCTATATAGCGAGATAGATGATAGAGATATATTATAATATTAGAGAGAGAGAGAGAGAGAGAGAGAGAGGAGAAGATTTTTTCAGGAGGAGTGGGGAGAGGTAAAGAGAAAACGATTTTTTTTGAAAAAACTTAATACTAGAAAAAGAGAGAAAAAAAAACTTGGAGGTAGAGAGAACATTGAAGGGCGAGGGGAGGGAAGATTATAGGAAGACAGGAAATCGAGGGAAAAATAAATAATAGCGAAAAAAAAATCAAGTTTAAGGAGCGTTGAGGTGGATGGGTATTTAACAGCATATAGATATATAGTATATATATATATATATTAGATATATATATAGTAACTGAAAGCTTGTAGCACTAAAATTATAATCCTTAAATAATTACAAAAAAATATTTAATTAAATAAATCTCTCTCTCTCTCTCTCTATATATATATATATATCTATATTATATATATATATATATATATATATTATATATCTATATATAATCTAACAATAGAGACATTTAGATTAATAATTTTACTATATTTACATGTTCGAATTAAACATACTTAAAAAATATTACAATGTAGAAAAACTCACATATAAGCAAACTCGTTAAAATTTAAGACAAATAAAAAATAGATATATCGATGACTTTTAATTAAGTCTTTCTTGAAGCAACACAAAATAAACACTCATATATAAAATATTGAATTAAATATTATTCATATTACCTTTATAATATATGATCGATAACATGCCTTTAAACTAATTTAAATTAATAATTCATCCACAACCTATAAAAAAGAATTAATACATAAAAAATTAACAAATTTTAAGTTGATACAAAATAATGTTCCTCGAAAAGTGGTAAAAAGACCCTAAACACATATATAACATATGATCGATAACATATATTTTATCTAATTTATATTAATGATTCAAACACAACATATAAAAAACATTAGTATATAACAAACTTACAAATTAAAACTTCTAATATAATAATATGACTCGAAAAATGGTAAAAAGAGCTCAAACCAACAAAAAATCATTTAAAGCTTTTATATTTTTTGTGAATTTTGTTTGTGAATTGTATGTCTATCTATTAAAAATAGAGGTATTTTTATATTAAAATTTACATTAAGTGCTTACTAAACATAATAATTAAGTTATAAACCTTTAAATGACTAAATCATTATTAAGAAAACTTTGAGTGGTTTAGTTAAATGATGGAGGTTTGAAATGAATATGGTTTGAGTAAAATTGCTTAGTTTATAAGATATATAGATATAGATATAGATGTGATTTCAAATAAATATTAATATTCACATGTGAAATTGACTATATTTACATGTGTGTTTGTCGATTGTTTAGTCTATATAATTTTTATTCACATGGAAATGACAAGTATAAATGATAAATATATATGTGAATAATTACTGTTCTTGAGATATAAAACTAAATATAATTTCAAATAAGTATTCATTTTTTCATGTGAATCTGACTATATTCACTTGTCTATCTAAGTAATTCACTTGAAATTTTTACTATTTCAAAATTTTAATAATATAAATTTACTAAGATTCACAAATGATTTTACTCAAATTCACATTTGAATGATCCATAATTGTTGAAAAATTAGGATGAAATTATCATTTTAATTTGAATTAACGCCTAAAAACCGAGCTTATATTCACTTGTGAATGTGAATGAATCGATACATTTTTTTATAAAACATATACTGTACATATTTACTTGTAAATCTGAACGAGCCAAAACTATATATATATATATATATATATATATATATATATATATAATATATATATATATATATATCGAAATTGATGACTATTTATAGAGGAAAAACAAATATGAATTTAGATATATTTAGTTTTATTTTTAATTAAACAAGTTCTAAAAATTTAAAAAGAAAAACAAAAGATAAGTGTTTTTTTTTCCTATAATATGGTCTATGCACTTCCAAATAATAAATATACATCATTTCTTTTTCCGTTGACGTGTTGCATTCCTTGACATGTTGCATTCCGGTGTTGAGAACATGTTCCTTGGATACTTGGGTTATTTTGTTCTCTACCAAACCTAACTTATACATACAGGGTAGTTGGATATAACATGAAACAATAAATTATTACTTACGTATAAATTTCAACAAATAAGTACTTATTGAAATTACATCTTACATGTCGTATTAAACTAGTGCCCCATAAGTTCCTATATATACATGTGATATTGTTATAATTTTTTTCAACTCATAAATAGAATATCAAGAAAAGCCTATACAATGGTTGCTAAACCTTTTATTGTGTTAACTTTATTATGTTTTATTTCCACAACTCATTTTGTTCATGGCAAAAATCTTCCTGGAGTGGAAAAGACATCCCTAAGAGATGTTAAATTGGGGAAGTCAATTGTTAAGAGGTATATTAATGGTACTGTTCAAGGTGTTTTGGATTCGTTGGGGCTAAGAGCTTTATCGCCAAAATTTTCAAAAATATCCACAATACTTTTAAAAGATGCTATTAGAGGTTTCTATGATTCTTCAAATGTACTTGATGTATTGAATACAAAATTTGGAGGAAATCTTATTACTAGGCATATAGCTAATGTTCAAGAAAAGGTTGATGTTGCATTTAAAAAAGGAGGAAGAGGTACCAGTACCAGCGGTGATAACATACCTGGAGCTGGCATATGATGCAATGTTGGAGGAGGTAATACGAAAGTGAAATGATTACTTTCAAACGCAAATAAAACTACAAAAATAAAAAGGGAGCAACCAGCTTGCTTACTGAATCGACCTACTCACAAGTAAACATGCATTGTTGGTCTATATATTAAGGATGCATCTTTTATATTGTCGTATGTATTATATATCTTATTTAAAGAATAAAAGCAAGAATGCTACAATATGTTGATATATTGTCACTTTTTATATATATTCTCATTATCAAACTAAAATCATAAGCTTTTTATCATTTATAATAACACATACACGCACGCACGCACATACATATATATATATATATATATATATATTATATATATATATATATATATATATATTATATATATATATATATATATATATATATATATGTGTGTCCGTTTCATTCATACACACACCACTTATAATTAGATGTAAAATATTTATCATTCAATTCAACTATTCTTTCATGTCATGATTAATTCAAAAAAAATAAGAATGGTTTATAAAATATTTATCATTCAATTCAAGTATTCTTTCATACCTTGATTCATTTTAAACTAGGTCTTAAATAATAAAGTTAAAAAAGACTCACAGACCATCATAAGTATTACATGATGGGTGAATCAAAACAACGAAAAAGAACAAGATTCAATGATTCAACATTTCATAATCTAAGTAATGGATTTTATTTAGAAAAAATAGGTTAGATATATCTTTTAATGAAAATATGGTATTGACTTTAAGTCATCGTTACTCTAATTTTCCATATCATTATACTTATTTCATGAAGGGTCCTTCTGTTTAAAAAATTTACCTCAAACCGTTCTTATGAAACTTTTCTTGCATAAATAGTCCATTAACTTTGGATTTGTTAATTCCTAAGTTCCTTATGGATAAAGGTTGTTTAAGAGGCTTACTAACTAGTCCCTTGCGCCTTGCATGTGAATGCATTTTGTACATTTCGGTTGAGGATTTACAACATCTACATTCTTCCCTCCTTCCTTCTTGATTTATAATCATTTTTTCTCCATCTTTACATTTGTTCACAATGGTAAGAAGGTGTAATCGATTTAATTGAATATTGTAACATCCCAAAAATCATAAAAATTTAAAACTTTCAAAAAAGAGTCATTATCCACAATTGTTTACAAGAAAATCCATTGTTCAAAAGTAAAGTCATATCAGAGTGTCCCAAAAGTCACTACCATGAAAATCGAAAGATGTGCATGATCAGGCCTTCACTTTCCCACGATCCTCTAAAGTATGTGAAAAAATAAAATAAAACTGTAAGTCAAAGCTTAGTGAGTTTCCCCAAAGTACCATAACACAACATAATAAACATAGAATGCAAATATGAGCCTTCAGCCTGACTGGACCGCCTCGTAGGGCCGGCAGCCTATCTGGACCGCCCCGAGTGTCTTGTCCTTCAGCATAAAGCAGCACCGTCTCAACCCAACCACAATATGTCGACATATGTAACAAAAAAACATAAACACAGAACTAGCAAATACAGGTAACCATGCAGATCTACTACTTAATCATATACTAGTACAACAATATCCTATAACCAGGATACATAATCTAGTGGGCCGACATTGGTGCCTTCGACCTACGAGTACAATGAGGAAAACTCATCTCTCAGTTCGAACAAAAGCTGAATAAATCTCTGCTCAGAAAACCGGCTCCACCTGACACCTATTATTCAAAATATTGCCCAACTTAAAAAATAATATCAAATTACCTAAAATACCCTTTGGTCAAAATTGGTCAAACTCAACAAACCTGTCGAGTCAAACCAACCTCGTATGTGGGTCATTCCCAACTGAACACAGGGCATACTCGCTTGTTGACCAAAATATGGGGACTTGACCGCGTACGTGCGACGTACCACCTGGTACACCCAACATACGCAATTGGATGCCTTCCCAACTCATTAAGTGCTTAATACTTAATCCCTTACGTCCAAATTACAGATCTAAGCCCCAAATGTTGTCTTTGACCATAAAGTTTCCAACTTTATGGTCTTGCATGGGCATTAAGTGCTTAACACTAAAAACCCCAACATCTTAATCCATTAAGACAACCAAACTCATGCATGGAGAAGAACTAATAGCCAAGATCATATTTTTATGCTTCTAGACCTCTCAAAATGTCTGAAAGGACAGCCTACATGGATTGGAGTACCTCAAACATAAAATACCAAATTAATGGGACCAAAAGAAAAGTTCATGGCTAAACTAGACCTAAGCGTAGCTTCATCAAGTTTAGATCTTTTTACCTTCAAAGAGTGCCCAAAGGTGATGAGAATCTGGATCCAAAGTGCTCTACACTTCTAGGGTGATTTCCTCTTTTTCATTTGTGACATCCCCATTTTCACGGCCATAAAAGACCGATTTGTTTATGCTTATTTAAAAAATAGAGTATCCTTTTTGAAGAACAACATTGCAGAATTTATTCCCAGAAAAACATGATAATGATATTATCAAAGCATTTCCGAAGAAATGCATTTTTATTTATATTAAAACATTGGGATGTGATCGACAATACAGAAACATAATCATAACGAAATGTTACAAGCCTTATAGTAATTAAACTAGTGACCTAATGCTCCTTGAATCTCTCAGCATAATGTATCTTTCATATAGCCACCTGTGATACAATAAACTGAGTGGGTCAGGTTGGGAAACCTGGTGAGTCCATAGGGTTTTCAACCTACAATAATATAATTATTATATTTAATCATCAAACAGTTAACCCAATTTCCCATCCCCATTATCTTCCTTATTCTTAAGGATCTTCCTTAAGAATCATCTATTCGTCATTTATTCATTCCTAAGGATTGTCCTAAGAAATAGGCACGACGTCCATCGCTTCCAGGGTTTATCTAACAGGCACTAAGTACATAGCTGCCGATGTTATCTATTAGGCACAATTACCAATGTTATCTATTAGGCACAACTGTCATTGTTATCTATTAGGCACATCAGCCAATATTATCCATTAGGCGCAACTGTCAGGATTTTTAGAGTACATCTGGTGAACACGTAGTTCAAAAACACCTATAGGTTGCGAGCCTGCTAGCGTTCAACTGGACTGTCTAGAATAATCTGTGGTTGTCATCTATACTCTGCTAGATGAATGGATCAGCGTTAAAGTTAAGGCTTCTCATCATCTTTCACCTCTCAACATCTATATCATCTTTCATCTCTCATTTTCCATATCATCTTTCATTTACCCATATTTATCCAGTATATTTATAGGTATAAAAATACATATACAGTTTAAATCAAGTAAAACATATATAAATCATTCATCTAGCATAGATATCAGGACCACAGATAATAAGCACATATAGCATGTATTCATACATATACTTCATATCTATGTGTAAGATAAAAGTAACTATGCACTCACTTGTTAAAGTGATGATTCGAAATTCGGACAACGCTTCGCTTCTAGAAATTGATTTTTCCTTTGACGTAACCTAGTATCATTATCACTAAGTCTTAGTTTATTATTTATTGAGACTACTTATTATTATTATTATAGATTCATCATTAACTCAAAGTCTACTTCAAGATCTATCAAGTAAGGAACAATCGGGTAGGATCATATCGGAGGTAGGGTCTGTTTGGTATACGAAGTATACTGTTTGGAAATCCCAATTTAAAAACCTTACTAAATCCAACCTAGACATCATCCCCGTAAGTAGATCAATCAGTATAACGACTTGGAGTCACTGATAAATCTTGTTTATAGTTTCATAATAACAACTTATGACTATACATATAAGTTACACTGAAAACAAAATAGTGTAGCTTAACTTACAGGGCTTTTAACGAAAACCGGGAAACTACGCGGAGAAAAATCCGACTCTAAAAACTTCTTATCGTCGACTTTTTGATGACTCAGAGTTCCTCTATCACAACCCAAAACTAGGAGAAATCGAACAAGAAAGAAAGAATAATTCTAGAGTGAGTTTAGAGGAATTGAGTAAGAAAATATGAAGAATTTATCCTCTATTTATAGGGGTCAGATCATAGAGCAGGCCCTAAGTTTCGTCCGTAGCTTCCGCGTATAAGCTCCGTTTTCTACGTTCTTTATATCTACGCGTTGGTATTTATGAGTAGTACAACTTTCATTTAGACCCCGTCGGGTAATTCTCATTCTATCTCAGATTTACAAATTTGTATTGAATTTATCGCGCTCGAAGAGTAAGGACTAAGTTTCGTCCATATCTTTGACATACGAGCTCTATTCTCGACGTTCTTTATATCCATGTGTTGGTATTTACGAGTGCTACAACTTTTATTTAGACTCCATCGACTAATTCTCATTCTATCTCAAAATTATAAATCTGTGTCGAATTCATCCCACTCGAAGAGTAGGGACTAAGTTTCGTCCATATCTTTTGTATATGAGCTCCGTTTTCGAGTGTATTTTTATCATTGAACTCCTATAAATGAGATATTCAATTCTTGTTTAGATTGTTTTGGCTTAAAATTGACCGATCTAAAATTCGATTTCCGAGCTGTACAATAATACGCTAAATCTTAGAAAAATCATAACTTCCTCTAATGAATTCAAATTTGGACGTTCTCTATATGCATGCTCTCGGTTTAATGACTACTATGACTTTTGTTTAGATCACTAAGGCTAAAAAGTAATTTATCAAAAATTTACTTTTTACGATACGCGGAGACGTGCCGTTTAATCTTGAAACTTCGATGAGTCATAACTTTTTCGTTATAAGTCGGATTTTAGCGTTCTTTATATGTATGGAATCCTTGTGAGATATACTACAACTTTGGTTAAGATTATTTATTCTAAATAATCTTCTATCCAAAAGTCATTTTTAACGCCTATTATCTCTAAATTAACTAGCCCGAATCTGCGGACGTTACATCATTCCTTCTTCAAGAACACCAAAACACACATACCACTAGGCTTTACTAGAGAGTCGAAATGGGGTTGGGGGCTGATGGGAT